TAGATAGATAGATAGATAGATAGATAGATAGATAGATAGATAGATAGATAGATAGATAGATAGATAGATAGATAGATAGATAGATATTTTATGAGGAAATTCAAGAAAATGGCTCAAGGTTTAAGAACTCGTGTTTTAATCTAATTCAAATGATCTAGTTTAAGTGTGATTAACTAGAAATGACTGAAACTCATTAAATTAACTTAATTTTACATTCAGTAAACAAGGAAAAGTTCACTTATTTGGCTAAATTCCTGGATTCATTGCAGATATGTATTTGTTATTATTATTTTATTTATTTATATTATTCATTTATTATAGTGCATCTGCTAGTTTTATTTATTATAAACTTAATTTATTGAGTTGAGTCAAAATGGCTCAAGTTATAATCTCATGTTTGTTATGATATTTTTTAAAAATGGTGCTGGGTATTAAAAACATAGACATTACAAGTTAAATGAACTAAAAAAACTGAGCAAAACTCCTATATTTACGTGAAGCAAACAAAAAAAATGTGAGTTGATTTGAGTAAACTCCTGAGAATTACATTTATTTAACATCTAAATCTCCCAAATCCAAAACACAATTTTCTTTTTCCTCTGAAATGAGGATTAAGCGGTGTATAGAAAATGGATGGATGGATGGATGTAGTGGAAGAGAAGCAAAGCATCATTTAATAGATATACTCAAGTAAAGCGCTTCATAATTGGACTTGTGCGTGCGTTTGGATTAGTAACGTGCCGTGCGTAAATGGATAATTGGCTTGTAGTTAACTTAGCGGACACGTATAATCGTGATTGCAGCAGCTTAGAGCTCCTGGTTGGGATCAACGGCCGTGAGTGCGGATGTGAGGGCAGAGGTCAGACACGAACGCAGCAGTCTGGTCATCTGACGGGAGGTTTCGGTCGCGGCTCCTTTAAGAAAACGGAACTGAAGTCTGTGCGTTTTGACGCGCCGAGGATGTGGGCAGGAAACGCCATGCAAGAGCAGAGCAGCGATCACGCTTCCCAGCGCCGTTGCACAATACAGTGCGATCAAAATGCGCTGTAATCCGCCACGCTAAATGTCCAGGAGCGGCCTTTCTCCTCGGATCCGCGCCCCGCGGCCCTTACACAGCAGCCGAGGAGGAGCATCGTCCGCCGGTGTGGGAGTCGAGTCCGATCCGAGCCAGAGCGCAGCCTTCCCAGCCTGCTCGCTTTGAAAACATCGGGGCTGGTCAGCGGGTGGGAGAGAGAGAGAGAGAGAGAGGAGGCTTCGTCGGTGGGAGAAAAAAAAAGGAGGTGTCTGCCTTTTTTTTTTTTTATAATACTCTCCCCCCCAAACCACCACCACCTTTAAAAAAAAAAAAAAAAAAGCCATGAGGGAGTACAAAGTGGTTGTTTTGGGGTCGGGCGGAGTCGGTAAATCCGCGCTGACGGTCCAGTTCGTGACGGGCTCCTTCATCGAAAAGTACGACCCGACGATAGAGGATTTCTACAGGAAGGAGATCGAGGTGGACTCGTCCCCGTCCGTGCTGGAGATCCTGGACACGGCGGGCACCGAGCAGTTCGCCTCCATGCGAGACCTGTACATCAAGAACGGGCAGGGCTTCATCCTGGTCTACAGCCTGGTCAACCAGCAGAGCTTCCAGGACATCAAGCCCATGAGGGACCAGATCATCCGGGTGAAGAGGTACGAGAGGGTGCCCATGATCCTGGTGGGCAACAAGGTGGACCTGGAGGGGGAGCGAGAGGTGTCCTCCGGGGAAGGCAAGGCGCTGGCCCAAGACTGGAACTGCCCCTTTATGGAAACTTCAGCCAAAAATAAAGGATCTGTGGACGAACTGTTTGCAGAAATAGTGAGACAGATGAACTACTCCACGGTTCCCAGCGGTGGAGACCAGTGCTGCTCCTGCGTCCTGCTCTAAGGCTCAATGTCAGCTTCTTAAAGTTGTCCTGCAGGCTTTTATTTTTAATTTTTATTTTGGTTGCAAAAAAAAAAAAGTATTCTCTCTCTCTCTCTCTCTATCTCTCTCTCTCTCTCTCTCCTCACACTGTTGTCTTATTGTTGCACACAAAACAAAACAAAAAAAAAAATCGACAACAATCGATGATGTATCATAAGTCTGGAAAAGTGTTTACATGACAAAGTACTTGAATGTTTTTTGGGATTTTTTTATAGCTTTGTATATGACACTTCTCTGGAAATGTGCCTCAATGGGAATGTCTTATTGTGAAACCTAAGAGACACATGTTCTTATTTTTTTGTGTGTTTTTCTTTTCTTTTTTCTTCTTGAGTTGTACTGTTAGATCTTCTGGCGCTGGGTCCTTCTTGTCTTGGAGATCGGTGGTGGTGGTGGTGGTGGTGGTGGGTTATCGTGCCAAATCCCTCAGGCGGAGATGGGATGTTTAGGGCCTTTTTTTTTTTTTTTGTGGCTAAAGGAGGACTGAGAAGTATTTAGGAAATCTCTCAGAAACTTATCAATCACCACTCAGGCCTTGCACAGGTTACTCAAATCCGATTTGAATTCCTCCCAAGAGGCGCAGACCCACCCAGTAAGATCCTGTATTTGAAGCTGTGGACTGTGGTGGAGTTGTGTTATGCCAACATATTTGAGTTATTTTTTTTCTCCCCCCTCCTCCTCACCCTCTACTCTTCTCTCCGGTCTGGTGAAAGTGGATTTATCATGGAACTTGCACTTAGCTGACGGTGTCCCTCCTCAGTGTGCACAAACGAGGACCTTAGTGCATTGCTGTCGCTGCATGGGGGAAAAAAAAAACGCCACGACCCCATGTCAAGTGCCTTCCTAAGAAATCTCCTGTGACTGTGCCAACTGATGAGCCCTACTTCCTCTGCAGTGCGTCTTGATGGCAATCAGAACTTCTGTTTTTGTTTTTGTTTTTTTCCTTTGCAGTGTACACTCGCGTTTCATTTCGGTGTCAAAGAGAGAAGCGCCTCTTCCTATTTTACTGTCAGGAAGCTCAGGCTTGTAATAGACCTGCTGTTTCAGGGTCACGTTCAGGCCGTTTCTCGAGGTACTAGTCCGGCGACTTTCTCTACCCACTGGGGTTTTGGTTCAGTGAATGGCAAGCCATGTCTTTATGTATTATCTAGGTTTTTCTTTTTTTTTTTTTCTTTTTCTTTTTCTTTTTCTAAAATGTGACATTTTTGACTTACCGTAATTGTAATTCTCCCTTTGGACAAATCTTCTGCCATCCAGCTGTCAGTTTGAAAGACTTGTAATACAAAAAAAGAAAAAAAAAGCATTTTACGTACCTGGGTGTGTGCTGTGCTTGTGTCTGCTGATGATGTGAGTTTATACGGTTTTGCTATGAGGATGTGTTGAGTTTTAAAGTCACCGTTCGTGCTGAAGGAACAACCAAACACACTCACCGGCCGCTTCATGGAATCTGTTGTCATCTATTCAACAGCTTTGCCACATATTCTACTTTAAATAAGCTTCTGCATTTTTTATATTTATCTGTCTCTCATCTTTTTTTTTTGTTTTTTTTAATAATTCTTGCCAAAAAAATACAATAATTCAAATTTGTTTTTGGTGTCACAGTGGCAGGCGTATCATTAAAAGTGTTCCCAATGTTTTGTCCCTCTCGTAAATCGGTGGACAAAATAATAGCAACACTTGAATATAGAGCATCACCGACCTCTATCACCTCAGTAACCAACAAATGCACAAACTGAAAGTGCACAAACTTATATTTATGGCAAAGCTTTTGCGTTCTAGTGCATCGGATTTTACACGTTCCTGATAAAGTGGCTGGTTAGACGGGAAAACTCAATCATGAGAAATGGGATAAACAGGGGGGGGGAAAGACATCAAAAAACGTGCAATGTATGATTTTCAGTTCTTATGAATGTTTATTAGACATTTGTGAATCAGAAAAAGGTTAATTTGCAGTATAGACAGTCATTAATTGCACCTTTTATTCCATATTTTCTTGCATCAGACGAGCTGTGAGTTTTCCTAGATGAGGCCTTATGTGCCGCGTTTGAGACGTTTTAAGAAAAAAAGAGCCTTCAGCTACTTGTTGATCTTGTTAAGTGACCGCAGCCATCAGGAGTTCAAAAAATAAAAAAAATCCCAGTCAGTCCAGCTGTTTGGCTAGTGGGTAGGGCTTCCAGTGTGTTTAGTTGGGGAGAGCTGCTTCCCCTCTTCCTGCTGCATGTTTTCTAGGCCGAGCACAGAGAGGGCTTTTCTGTGCCGGCGGCCGAGTTCAATCAGCTGTGCAATACCGTAGACCGGCGTTCGGTAAGTCGCTCCTCAGGCTGGCCAAAGAAGCTTCAAGTGTCCCTCTCGCCACAGAGATTCAAGGTCAGATTACCAAATTCAATCTAAGGATGTGCTCACGCCATTCAGGATAAAGAAAGGGTTGCCTCTTCTAGCGGTGCCTGCTTTGTTTTTCTTTCTACGGTCACTTTCAGTGCACGGTTATCGAAGTTTCTAACTGTAATTCCTGACTAGAAGTCCTTTCATTAGAATTTAATGAAAGCTTAACAGAGGTACTGGAAGTTTAGAACAACACATTAATGATTATTAATAAGTAGGTGGCCCTCATTTATTTCTGTCCGCACACACAAGAGGAGATGAATAAACACATATAGTGAGCATGTAACGTTTACTTTTTAGGCCAAAAAGACCAACACATGACGTGCTGTAAGCGGATATGTCAAGCTGATGTAGTGTTTATATTTAGCAGCTGTCTTTTTTTTTTTTTTTAATCCTCAGATGTGGTTTAAAGTGTTCACTTTGTTTCCCAGGTGTAAAATACTAATAACTCAGAGGCTAGAAGGAGCAACAGCACGATTACAGTCACTTACTGCCTGTCAGTGGAAAGTAATCAACTACTGCACCAACACAGAGGTTCTTGTAATTTAACTCCTCTGCATTTCAGTGGGACTGTGAGGTTTTTTTTTTTTGCAGGCAAAGAGAGTCTCAAAATTTCTATTTCGGCTGATTTTTAAAGGCCCAGGTTGGTAAAATTGTGTGCATATGTGCAAAACTGAAAATGAATGTAAGCCGCGTGATGTTTTTCTTCCTTTAAACCCCTGTTAGTCATCTCACCAGCAGCCTGGTAACCACTGACAAAACTGTGATAGCTACACAAGGAAGTTAAAGCCAACTCCACCTTAACCAACCGCAGGAGTGAAGTGTTATCAGTCGAGAAAAGAGCTTTACACGCAGATACCAAAGAAAGGAGCAACATGAAGTAATACCAGAAGAGTGAAAAAAAAGGTATTACAAAATGTGCAATGATACAATCATGTTTTTATGCATTTTAAACTTCCATCAGGCCACAAATCTTATAGTGGCTTCATGCCTGCAGGCCTTCACTGGTACGACCTGCTTGATCACTTTGGTGGCGTTGATCTAGTGAATCCAATCCACTTCCAATCCAAGTTTGTATTTCCTACTGCAAGGCTACAGTCGGGCACAATATTTCTCCACATCTACACAGGTTAAAAGTGTATAGAAAAAGCTGTAACAGACCCTCATTTCTGCCGTAAACACTCGCCTCAGTCGAGTGCTGTTTTCCCTGCAGCTGAAAGAGTTTTCTAAATGTGCACAAATTACATAAATATAATCGTACAAATATAGTTCTCCAACTATACAAGCACATCTCAGAGGGTTGGATGTTGGCCTGAAACCTCACAAATATCTCCTCTTTACTGCGGCGTTGCACAAACATGCCGTTCATCCTGAATTTCACAAGCTGTCTGGCAAAGTACAATTCACGCAATACAGCTAAAAGCAATTTTCCGTCCAGCTCATCCCCCCCCTGCAGCCTTTGAGATGTTCAGTTTAATGCTTCCACGCTTTAGAACCTGTGTCGTGTTCACATTTTATTGAGTAGAAATGTTTTAGCAAACGGAAGAAAGGAAGGGTGGATGATAGGGCACTTCCTGTGTAACTTCACCTCAGATCTATGATATGTTACACAACAGACAAGCAGTTCCTCTTAAACATGTAGAAAAGAATCACACTGTCGCAGCTGGTACACAGTTTTGTGCTTCAAGATGGCTCCAGTTCTTTTCAAGTTTGAGCCAAACATTTCAGGAGGAGAGTAGAGGGATGGTGAAACAAAGAATAAAAAGGTTTCACTTCTGTTACTTGTAGTGCCTGCAATGGCTTCATGTGATCTGATTCGAGCAAAGAGGATCATATGACGTTAATTTACCGTAGTGGCCACGGCTGGTTATCAGCGAGCTGCTTGGACGAACACAGAGAAAGAAACTGTAGCAGCCAACTTTTTAAAGGTCACGTATTGTGGCCGTTTTCAGCGAGTAATGCCAGTTTCACGTGTCCTTACAGCACAAAACACTGCAAAGATGGCTCATTTTTTACCATGACCTGGTTTTGACCCTGTTTCAAACCAGATGTTTCATCCCCCCCCCCAGGAAGAAAACGCTCTGATTGGCAATGTGGTGAAAAACTGATGACTGTACGGCTGCTGACACTTGAACTTTTCTTGTCAGACGATGTCGCAGTTACAAAATCAGTATTTTAGTGGTGCAGAGCCACCGCTTAGGAAATGCAGTAAGTGGTGGTTCGCATGTGGTCTGCGTTTCACTCGCTGTTTCATGCTCGTTGCATTGTCTGACAACAAAGACAGAAAACTATACAAGTAGGAACATCTTTATTAGGAGTTCAGCTGTATTAAAATGCGGTTTATTTACGCACAGAGAGAAGCAAACAGATGTTAACACTGCATGAGTTTAGGTTGCACTGAAACACAACAACCCATCCATCCATCCATCCATCCATTATCTATACACCGCTTAATCCTCACGAGGGTCGCGGGGGGGCTGGAGTCTGACTCAGCCGACTTAGGGCGAAGGCAGGGGACACCCTGGACAGGACAACCCATCCAGTCCTTGTTTATTAGTTCTTATCGATTTTAAAGTTTCCACCATCTCTCAATGTCCCCATGTCCAAGGAACTCTGACCTTTGAGTATACAGTCAAAGCTATTGGTGACTTTAACCACATTAGCCGCACGGTATGCTAATACTTTACTACTGTTGTGTTGATATTGCCATCAGTTCTAAACTCAACCCACTGGGGCTTCAGTTTCTTAGATGCTGGGAGTGCATGAAGACTCTTGCGTTTACTCTTGCGGCCAACATTTGTTGTGTTTTGCTCCAGACATTTTAAAATGAGCAGAAGCAGCTCTAGAAAGTAAATAAACCCGGTGGACCTTCTGAATGGTAGCATGAGGGGGTCAGGGTTACACAAAGTTTCACCTGGATGACCATAGGTTAGTTTGGTGTAAGGTAGCACCAGAGGCTTTCTGTCCCGGCCCCCTGATTTGCTGGCAGTGTCTCTTCCTGCTTCCTGTCTCTTCCTGTCTCTGGGTGTGACTGAGCTGCAGCCTGATCAGAAGAAAGTAAAGACACCTGAGCAGAGTTTGGCTCACCTGCCACCAATTACCGATGCACTCAATAAAACCTACACACATCCCTTGACTGCTTCCCTGCCTTGTCCTCCGCTCGTCTCCCTGGAATAACTTTTGATCACTTGCTGCCTATTTCTGTTACTTCTCTGCCGGGTTTTCTCGTTCTGAACAAGCCCCCTGGATCACCTGCCTGCTTCAGCTTCCCACAAGGTTCCTGTCTGCTCCTTTCCAGCCCCACTTTATCAGCTGGTCGGGTAAGTTCCTTAGCGTTTTTCCAAGTAGCTCTATCTGGTCTTGGTTAGTTTTTAGTCCTGTCTCCTAGTTCTGTCAGTATTTAGTGTCTTGTGTTTTCCCTAATAGATCTGTTGCTTTGTTTGCGACTAATAACTTGTGTTTTTAGTGTTTCCTGTTCATTTCCTGAGAGTTTTGTATTTCAGTCACCTTGAGTTAGCCTCACCTTTTGTTTAGGTTAGTTGCCATGACCCCTCCCCAGTTCACACACCTGGCTGGTTTGGACTGTCTGTATGTATTCTTCACTTTGGGATTCATTAATTACAAAGAAGCACTAAGTCTCTGATCCTTTTGTCCTCATTAGTTTATGCACCTGGGTCCTCCCACAATAGAACCATGACATTATCTTGTTGTAGGAAGACTTCGGGAATGGCTTCATATCTTCACAGCTTTAACTTCACTCCTCCAAGTTTATACCAACCACAAAACTCATTGAAAACTGTCACCATATGAGACCTTTAAAGTCCATCTCTGGTAGTCAATTAAACCCTTAAAGATTCACCTCAATGTATCATTTAGATTTTCCCAATGAAAATAATCATTTCCTGCTTTTTAAGCCGCTTCCATGTAACC